GAAAGGAGCCCCTGAAGCATAGGAATCTAGGGGGGAGCCAAACAAAAAATCTGTTCCAAATATTTACATTTAGGTAACTCCTACCTTGAAAGGTACATTTCTTTATGTGAAAAATGAATAAGTCATTTCTCTTTCCCTAGTAGTTTATTGGGAAATTCGAGGTCAGTGTGTGTTTGAGCACTGGTGTGATGAAGGCCAATGCCACACTTCACCCTCTGTGAGAGGACTTTGCCCCTGCATTCAGCCAGGTGATTTGTACACCACACAAAGTCCTTGGCCATAGGGGCTGCAGTCCAGCCCATCCTTCATTTGTTGAACCAGGTATCCCGCTGCAAGGCTGCCCCTTTGTGAAGAAGGAGTACTGTTTTCTAATTCATCTGCCTAGAGGCAATGCTTTTCCTCCCATCTGTCTATCCTGAGGGCACCTGTTAAGCTATGGCTGGTTCTAGGAGGCATACTTTCTCCCACTCTCTGGAAAGGACATGTTAGCTACTTGACACTTAATTGTCTGTATTGGACCCCCATGGAATAACTGTCAACCCACCAGTACTATTATGTGTGAGTTAGCAGAGAGCTAGTGCATGCACGTTTGAGAAAGGTTTCTCCAGGCAAAAATTAGGATATAAAAGTGTAAAGTTTACATTATCTTCTCAGACGGAGAGGGTGAGAGTGTGAAAGAAAGTAGGGAAAGAGAGAGAGAGAAAAGAAAAGAGATCAGGGAGCTAGATTGCAACGTGCCATCCCAAGGAAAGGGAGGGGGGAGCCAGCACCAAGGCCAGGAGGCTCGCTAAATTCTAAAAGGTGGTTGTAAATTGGTGGGGTACAGTCAAGAAACTGCAGTATCCACTTCTTTCTTTCTTCTCGATGGCACACAGTTAATAAAAACTGAAGCTGAGCCGAAGGTCTAAGTCTAGAGTGGCGTCTCTACCTCTCTTTGGAGACCAGAGTATTGGGATTATTGCAGGAGATGTAACTCTGTCCTCAAGATATGGCTGAAGCCTGTGGTTCCTTTTCTAGCTGTTCACTCAGGAACTCTGTAAAGCAGAGTCTCAAAAACCCATTTTGAAAAAAGATTTCTCTCTCTTTTCTGTCTGTTCAGCTGGTTCAGAAGCTGTGCAAAACAGAACTCCCGTGGGGCACCTGCTGGTGGGAGGCCCCACCGGACTGATCTTTAGCTGTTAGTGGGGAAATGGCAGGATTAGGTTTTTCCTGTCAATTCTTGTAGGACCACCTCTTTTCCAGAAAGGGAATAATTTGGTTGCCATTGTGCAACCTCCGTTTAAAGATAGAACTACAGCTCTGAAGGGTTTTAATAACATGACATGCAATAACCACAGATATACTTTTTATTTAATCCACACCTGTGTATAGGTGCGGGCACGTTTTATGCTACAAATTGTGGTGGGCCCGTACTCCAAGCCGTGGAGAAGGAAATTAAGGAAAGAGCCTAAACCTATAGCTGTTCTTTTGCCTTCGACTTGGCTACCCTCATCGTCTCTTCCCTCCCACTCTCACAGCAGATTGTTCAAAGTACCTTCCTCCCTGCATCCCTTCTTTTCTCATTCCTGATGCCTCCCGTTCTGTTAATTGAGTGGCAGAATGACCTCTCTGCCACCAGCCTGGCCTTTCACATTGGGCATGACAGTATGAATGCTCTCAGCTTCCTAATTACATGTATCCTTGCCCGGTAGTCCAAGGACTGTAACTAATGGGCCTTTCCATAGTGACCCAGCGGAGTTGTGATGTCTACTTAATCCTTCGTGACTCATCTGGCTTTCAGTTTGTTGGCTGTTTTAATTATTTTATAATATCAAATAATACATTAAATTAGATTATTAAATCTTACACAGATGTTTATCTGTTTTTTACTCGTGGGAAATTTATATATAAGACTTTTCTAAAAAACCAAATTAGCACATATCTATTGGCTTTTTTAAGTGTAAGATAAAAAGTGTAAGCCTTGTCCAGAAAATGTGCTCACAGGTCAGCCAAGTGAATGCAGCCGACACGTTGCCATTTCTAGGCGTTATAACCAGACTTTGTCAAACCAGAGAAAGTAGAGAAGTCAGTTTTCTGAAATCTGAGGAAAGATGGTAAGAATCCCATGGCTTTTCTTACAGAGGATGAAAATCACTGGAGAGTCATGATGTCTCGAATTCTTGGGGTGTTTATGAGAGGTGTAAGAATAAAGGTCTGCCTTGTCCTCAGAATAAGCGTGCTTCCCATAACTCAGTGCAGAGCACTGACGATGTACAAATGGCAGAAGGCACGTGCATGTTTGTGTGCTTTCAGGAAGGCCCCTGAGGGAGAATGAACTCCTAAAGTTTTATGCAAATATAGCTTTCAACCTCTGAATTGTAAAAGATGGCCACAATCCTTTACAAAGATGTCTTCAATTAGTATCTTGTAAGTTACGTTGCCATGGTAACTTCATACATAAAACTTGTCCATTGCTGAAGAGGAAAAAAGAACTATTCTTCATCCTCTTTAAGTCTAGAAGTGCATTTTGTGATTTAAATTGTAAATCATATCATCGGCATTGACCTAGCCTAAAATCTGTTTACAATGTCTTGGCGCAGTGTAACAAGCGTATGACGACCTCCTACGTCTATGACACAAAGGCCTATGATTCCTTTGTATTTTTCAGGGGAAAGGAAGACCACAGTGTCCTGCACAAAAATCATGAGCAAAAATATCAGCATCGTGGACAACAAGAAATGCAAATACTTAACCAAGCCAGAGCCACAGATTCGAAAGTGCAATGAGCAGCCGTGCCAAATGAGGTAACTGCACTCCAGAGGTCATAAAACCTTTCCTGTCTTTTGAATGCCTGCTCTAACAATGCTACTCCCAGGCCCATGTGTGTTTCTGAAAGAATTAGAGGGAAGAATGCTGTGTGAAAGGACGGGCAGTAGAGAAAACCGCCTTACTATGTGCTCAGTCATGGCCATCTGCGCTGACCTTTTTGAGTATGTGCTTTTCAGCCCAACTCCAAAAGTGTGTGAACTGGTAAAGTGTTTTCCTGATGCAGTGCTCAGATAGGGAAACCTAGGGACTTATTGTTACCCACAGGCGGGTTCTTGGGTCCTTTCCACTCCACGATGGGCAGATACCTAACCAGTATTTTTAGTCTTTGCCTTGTCAGCTAAAGAACCTGGATCCTGTTTCTAGTCCTTATCTTTAACATTGTTATTGTTGGTAAATTTTAAGCCTTTTTAATTCTGTGAAGGCAAAAAGCAGAAACCTAATAATCACATGTATATGTAAAAATAAAAAAATAATAATAAAATTAAAAAAAAAAAGAACCTGGATCCTCTTTGTTACAACTCTTCCTAAATATTCTCTTTTTTCAATCTCTGTCTCCTGTAGACATTAAAATCCTTAATTATCTGATGTTAAATTATTTCTTAAAATATTTCAAACACCATTTGTTTTACATGCCCTCTATCTTTTTTCCATTTTGATGGAAGAACCACATAGTGTTCTGATACATCAGGAATCTTGAATGAGCAGGATTTATGGACTAGAATGTATGTCTCACTTCAAAACTTTGTCTGCAAAAAAGCAGAGTATGCAATCATGCCATTTATTATTCATTCACTGACCTCAGCTATCGTGGGGGGAAAAATGCCCTGGATAATGACTTGGGTAAAAGGAATAGTTTTAAAAGGTCAGTACATTTCTGAGTGAGAAATTTTTGCAGCCGGAGACTAGAAGTCTTTTTGTTGGAGATTATTATCTTCTTTCCTTTGGAAAGGGAGGCAGTATGTTTTGAACCACCAAGAATTGATGTCAGTGAGGTTAACCAAAATATTGGAAAGTCAGAAATGGACATGGGCAATTATGAAGGGTCATCACAGGAAAACTTGCCAAGATTTACTGGCAGAGCACAATCTTTATTTCTTCTCCCTTTTTTCTTTCTCCAATCTTGTAAGAAACATTCTAATTTCCATTCTTATGTCCTAAAAAAGTCGCCAAACGGGCTGATAGCACTCTCTATGCCAAATATAAAATAGACTGATGTGGTAGCAAACAGCTTTGTAAGAAGTAGGCCTCTTAGAAAGAAAAGAGATCATTCTAAATTAGATAAACTCTAACATATAAAAATATTTTCTCCATTAAAATACATCTTACATTTTGGTTCTTATTTTGAGCAGTTTTCACAAGGAATAGAGAAAGTAACTTTTAGAATTATCTTAAATATCTCAGAGTCTATTTTACTTAAAAATACGAAATTCTTTGAAATTGCAAATATTAATACTTCTCAATAGTGTCTCTGGTCTCTGTGTTTGGAAGTAGAGATACATAGATGGATTTCCATTGTGATTATTTCCTATTATTTCATATTCTTACATGGAATATGAAGTAGAAACTAAACCAAATCTGGAAGATGAAATGTTCACATTAGGAAAACTCCACCGGGGGACTCCCAAGCAAAATGACAGGTCTGCGTCATGCTTGATAAACAGCAAACGAGAACCTTGGAAGAGTCAGTCCTGGAATCCCAACGTTACTGTGCACGTTTTCCCCTTTTCAGAAATCGAAGCAGAAAGTTGTTAACAATTGAACTATTTTACAGATGCGATAACTAGGCTATAAGAGGATGTGACTCCCCAAAATATGAATCGAGTGCTAGGAATAGTTGGGCTTAAGTAAATCTGGAATAATTGGGGTTATTTCTATAAAACAGAGAAAAGCACAAATGCCGTTTCAAGAAACATGTAATGAAAAGCTAGCATGTGGGAAGTGTTACAGATACAAGAAAAGAACCACAGTCCCTTCTGTGCCTTTGAGGAACAGAAGGCCAAATTGCTTAGGTAGTCTCTAAACCTGCTCACTTCTCTAGGGAGTGTCTACGAGTCCTGTGAGCTGTGAGCGCTGCGAGTTAGGTGACAGGGCAGAAGAAAGGTTAATCCCTCCTGGGAGGATGGAGAAGCCCTTCTAAGTGGGAGGGGCTTGGAGTTGACTGTCAAGAAACCAAGCAGAGAATACTACATAACAATGCCCTGGGGTGGAAGTAGAAAATGTTTGGGAAGCGATTAACGCGGGGTTTCTTTTCCAAACAAGTGGAAGATTAAGCTAGAGAAATGTATGAATGACTATAAATCATCTTAAATAGACTGCAATATATTATATACTTTATGGTGAGTACCTATTGCATATAGGGAACATAATAATGAACTCTTTACAAATGCGAGAGTAAGAATTTACAGCTGTTAAGTATTATTTAAAAAATCTAACAGCTAGTCATGTACCCACAGTAGTAACCTCAGGTTTTCTGATTCCCTATACCATGCTGAAATAAGATTGTGCAGACGGTTCAGCTTGGGCCCCCCTGTAAGATTGTCCAAGAATGGATCATAAAGGGAGGATTTCTATTGACAGGAATCATACAAATATCAAATTTTAGGAATTGTTTTTCTGGAATAATTCTTGGTTCTCTCCTGAAATTAACCTGTGGAGGGGTGTAAATTAGTGATTCCTAGGATGGATCCTAATTAATTGAAATGGAAATGACACATATCACTGAGCTAATGACCATTTGGGAAGAGAAAAGATTTCTATCTACGTGCTACAATAAGTATTAGATAAATGATTGAATCGGTGAAATCAAAAAAATAAGACTAGTGTCTTAAGGTCCTATAAAATGGGGTGCTTTTAGGTTTGGTCCCGTGTCTGTCACTCCAATATCTATGATCACATCACAGTTAGACAAGGGTGAGGCTGAAGAAGCATAGCAAACCCTATCTAAACTCTATATATCCAGTCGCGGAAATCCCATTGTCCGTGGTGGATCCATCTGCCTTGGTGGTTCCCGAGAAGGGGGATTCTCAGTCACAGTCTCCGTTGCCTTGCTAAACCTGCACATTTCCTCATTGTGAGGTAGCCTACAGCCTCATTTTAATTTCTGGTTCCCTAATCTTGTGACCTGTGGTAAGTTACAAAAAAAAGAAGAAAAGACTCTGTGCACCTCAGTTTCCCTTTCTGTAAGTGGCCCTGATAACTGTGGGGCTATAAATTTAAAATACAAAGGATAAGTTTGGCGCCTGTAGCACAGTGGTTACAGCATCAGCCACATACACCAAGGCTGGCAGATTCAAACCCAGCCTGTGCAGCTAAACAATAATGACAACTGCAACAAAAAATAGCCAAGCTTTGTGGCAGGCATCTGTAGTCCCAACTATTTGGCTGAGGCAAGAGAATCGTTAAAATGCAAGAGTTGGAAGTTGCTGTGAGCTGTGACTCCAGGGCACTCTACTGAGGACGACATAGTAAGACTCTGTCTCAAAATAAGTAAATAAATAAATAAAATACAAAGAATAGCACTAATTCCTGGTTATTAGCAAATTTATACTTACAATGTACCTGAACGTGGCCATAGATGAGTAGCAAAACACGGCATGTGGCATAACATGGAGAGAATCTGATGAATACTTTGAGACTCTCAAGGCCCTAAGATAAGAAATACGGAGACTGAAAAACTGCCTCTTGGGTAAAGTATACACACTACCTGGGGGATGGATGGGGTAAAGGGCCAGACTTCACCACTATACAACAGACACATAAACAGAATTCAACTTGTACCTGTAAAGCTATGACATTAAAAAAGAAAGAAAGAAAGAAATGTGGAGCAAAGAATAGAAAGCCTGGATGCCTTGGAGAAAACTATAATGTTGGTTTTCTAAAAAGTATAAAATTACTGTGAAGCATTCTGCAAACACTGAGAGTGCTTTTCAACTGGTGTGCCGTGAGAGGGTCTTAGGTGTTCTGCGAAAATTTTGAAAATCATTAAATATTTTTAAAAGAAGCTCGAAGCCCAGTAAATATATTCTTTTTT